GATATCTTAAAATAATTTAAAACAATAAAGAAACATAAAAAAGGTATGCTCATGTTGAAACTATTGGAGCTACTTTTGCCATCTGTTTTAGGTTTTCTGAACTTAATGATTATTTCCATAATTTCAATAAACAATTAGTGTTTTCAGCTACACAGAACAAAAGGAAACGGTATATTTCAGTTACCATCAAGATATGTTTTGAGTTTTACAAATTTGTTTTAAGGTTCCAAAGCAACAGTAAAGATTTTAATCAACTTATAAAATTTGTCTTTATGTAATATTCTATTGGAATTCTAACCGAGTAAATGTTTTGATTTAAGAAATGAACTAAGGGGTTCTAGAATTGAATTTAAAAACTTCTTAAGTAGCAATCATGAAACTCAGAACGAATATAAGTTGTTAAGACAACTGTTTTATATTGTGTTTTAAAAAACTACATCAAACGTCATTCGGCTAACTTATAATTGGGGTAACATTTACCTTGAAAAATAAGGTTCAAATAATTGATATAGTTAAAAATCTTGCATGGAAACGTTATATACTTACTTTTGAAAGCTAACCTGAAAGTTCTATTAGTGTGCATAAAGTCAACAGCTGAAAAGTTTCTCTGCTATTGGTTTTAGTATCTTTTTTTATACTTAAGCCTTGCAATTACTTTACGATTAAACAAACTGTAATATGGAATCAATGTCTAAATCAAGATATATATATATATATATATATACATAATTATGAGCATAAATGCGCAAATATTTGATACTAAATGAACATCATAATTTAGCACTCCTACGGGCTTAATGAAATAAATATTGGTTGTGTTTGACTTAATAACTGATTCATATTTGAAGTTGTAAGTTCTGATGAACCAATAAACAAAGTAAAAGTTTATTTTACGAGAAACACATCTTTCTTCTGAGGCCTGGGGCTCAGCGATAAGGTTGAGAGCTTATAAAGCTAAATAATTGGGGCTCAATGACACGGTGGGCATGTGAAGATAGCTCATTATGCGACTTTGTGTTTAAAACAAATAAACAAACACATGTGTAACTCATTGTGACCAACTCAAAGTGAATATTTACACAACTGTAACTACACAGCCATCTACTGAATAATATATCTACAGCAAATAAAATCAATAAATGAATGTCAAACCTCTGTGGTCCGCTAACTTTTTTATTACTATTTTAGCGCCCCCCCCCCAAGTACAATATATATATATATATATATAGCTTTTTATCGCTATTTTAGCGCCCCCAAGTACAATACATACATATAGTTATTATTTGTTTTGTTATAGCAGATTCGAATTTCTCGTCACATAGAAAAATTGAAAATCAGCAAGAAACTATAACGACTTTCATTAGAACAGAAATAACGCAACAGAAAGGTTTATTTATAAGAAAATAGTTGCATTCTCACACTAGTTTAAGCTATATAGAAAACACATTGAAGGTAATGCATACACGAACTTCAAGCACTAATGAACCATCACATAAAGCAATACTATGGTCGATATTGCTTTGTTCAAATACATACAATATTAATTTAGCTGATATATATATTCTCGTCAATGTTGCTTAAAGTAGACATATACAATATTATGTTTAGCTAAGACTAATTCAGTGAAGTCATAGCCTATCTACTTTTATATATCCTCTTTGATGCAACATATGTTATATAATTACTACTACATTCGAGGTAACTTCAATAATGACTACGTTATCATCAAGCATTAATTACTCAGAGTCGTTAATCTCAAGTTGTCTTGCCAACTGTTTCTAAAAAGTTCCAGTTAGCAACAAGTAACAAGCAAAACTAATACCAAGTTTATAGCCTCGTACTCCGACGCCAGATGTAAAAGTTTTAAGTACCTTTGAATGTGATATGTTTTTGATGTGGAATGTTTGGTCTATTGTGATTCAAGTAAAGATAACCTAGTTAGTGTATTTTTTAACTTTCTTTTCACAGATGTTCGGTTCAATTTATAAAAATGATTTCTTTCAAACGAAAGAAAAAGCTTCGACGTTTGAATAGTCAAGTACTCAATTAGTGACGATAATTTAGCGTTCTCTGCGCAGTAGTCTTATTGGTTTAGTTAGATAATGGAAAAGATGCTTCTCTGCGATAGACCACGTAGTTGTTGGCGTTCATAAGAATGATAGTAGGGAAATCTGAGAACAAACGGTTGAAGGGAAAATATACCCTAATGTTCAGATAAGCTGACTAACCAAATGACTCATCACGAATGAAGGTTCTCTTCGTCTACAGCAGCAAGACGAGAAGACTTAGAACTGCGACGACCCAGACGTGTAAACACATTTAGGAAGTATCACAACTGGTAGTAAGCAATTATGCGTATTTTTAGTGTTAACCACCCTTTGTTGATGTATTTCGCAAACATTCTAGGCGATTCATTCAACGTAACGTATTTTTACCTTTGAGTGTATGAGACAGTGAGTTTGCATTTAAGATGCAACAAACTGAATTTAAGTGTAAAGAAGTTCATTACTTTTCCGTACACAGTTTATAAGGACTATACAAATGTAGCAAAAAGGTAACAATAAGAACTTACATTTACATAACACAAAGAGGGGGATACTGATAAATAAGCCTATCTACAGTCTTAATTACTGTTATTGTTTGTCCAGAAAAATATGTACTTTTTAAATTTAGTAAGATAATAGGGTGTAGTAATACGATTGTTATTCATAGATCATTCGAAACTTGGAGGTATCGATATTCAAATGCATGGATAGAAGTTAAACTGTACCCTCACAGCCTTGCACTCCATTTCTTGATTCTAGTAGATTTGTTTCGATCTCCAGAAGTAAGTCTGCGGGCTTATAACGCTAACTATATGGTTTCAATAGTTGCAATGGGTAGAGTACAGATAGCCCATTGTGTAGATTTGTACTTAAACATAAAACATTTTGTTTTACTATTCCTTTGTTATTATTATTGTTATGAATTTTATAGGATGAGAATAGCAAATATTTCACGATCTGAAATATTATAAATATTTCAAATATCCAATAACCAAATATCTTGGTTGTAACCAACCAAGTTACAAGAGCCGTTACAGCGTAGTAGAAATTCAAAGAGAAAGATGAATTCCAATAGATGTTACAAAGATACGAGTAAGATATTGTTAGCATAAAAATATACTGAATACGAAAAAAATCATCTAACCCCCCAAAATACCCAAACAAACTAAGAAAGTAAAGTTATAAAAATTTAATAGTAGTTAAGCACTTTAAGATAAAAAGGTATCGCTCATTACAGTATATTGTACATATTTATATTAAACGACCGAACCGTACAAGATCTTGCAAGAATTAATTTGCACAACGTTTCGACTTCATAAATGTCTTCGTCAGGAGCTTATTTTTTTATAATGAACTCTATCACACAAATTATTGGTTATTGAGGGGTAGAAAGTCCATTGTTGAAAGTTAAGCTCCTGATGAATGCGTAATGCTGAAACTTCGAGTGAATAAAACCTTTTCACGATATTTCTGAAAATTACGTCGTTTCATTTTTTTATAATTAAATGAAAAAGACTGTCACGACAGTTATAAGTAAATACAAAAAAAATATATTTTTTCCATGTGTGATAAGAGATGGCAGCACCAAGAAATAGTTCTTGCTGAATTGTTATTATGTCTTTTAAACAATTTTATATTTTAGGTAAATCATTAAACCAAGTACATTCAAATTAGTTTCACGCAATAATAATGTTCCTTCTTTGGGTACCTTGAAAATTAACGATAAGTCAGCGCAGACTAGATCCATAGTTTTTTCAAAAATGGGATTGTCTGAATTTGTTTTGAATTTCGCGCAAAGCTACACGAGGGCTATCTGCGCTAGCCGTCCCTAATTTAGCAGTGTAAGACTAGAGGAAAGGCAGCTAGTCATCACCACCCACCGCCAACTCTTGGGCTACTCTTTTATCAACGAATAGTGGGATTGACCGTCATATTATAACGCCCCCACGGCTGAAAGGGCGAGCATGTTTGGTGTGACGGGGATTCGAACCCGCGACCCTCAGATTGCTAGTCGAGCGCCCTGACAACCTGGCCATGCCGGGCTAGGATTGTCTGAAATGCTAATATTTAAAAATTCCATGTGCTAGTTGGGAAATCTTTGGATTTTATTAACAATATATGGATAAATATAACACAACATACTGTTAAACATCATAATCCGATAAATAATCATTAATTAAAAAGTTCACTAAGACAACGCTAAACACTACTAAGTATAAATGTTTCAGAACTTTAATTGAAGACATCAGGTCTTACCTAAAAACTTCTAAATGTTTTGATGGTCACAGACCCATCATGAAAAAGTAGACAGAAGTAAAAAACCCTATTCTAATTTTTATATGCCTTTCCAATTTTTTGCATAATGAAAACAAATTCGACCACTCAATAAGCAAATATGGTAATGAAACCCCCGAACCCAAATATATTTAAAGTTAACTTCTAATTTTTTAATATTACTAAAGATTCTCTTGTATTTAGTTCATATTTATTACCAGAATACTTAATTTGACATTCTTCCAATTAACACTTTGAGAAAGAGCATTGTTTTCCATATGTTCAGCTAAAGCAGATTCATTAATTCTGTTTTTCTACAGCCGATTTATGTTCATTAAGTCTAAATTTTACATTTCTACATGTTTTTTCAATATAAATTAGACAACAGTGAGGAGAGATTTTATAAAATTCCTATTTATCTATTAATATTTATTTTTAAAGACTATCAGTAAAATGACCAAATTTTAATATTGTTACGAACTTCTATCAATGTTCATCTTCTTCAACTTTTTTCTTTAGCAGAAGTCATTACTATTCACATACGTTGCCCTTTTCCAATCATCCCTTTTCATTGCAAGATCTTCCGCAATTCCTTTCTCATTCGTGCCTTCTTTAATCCCATCCTTTCAATCCTTTACTGGCCTTCTCTGTCTTCTTCTGCTGGTAGCTCTAATTCTCTCATTATTGCTTGTTTTCTACTCTTCTCTTCATGTCACACCACCTTAGTCTTGCTTCTCTTGCCTTTTCCTCGATTTTACAGACTCCTCCCATTTCATTAACTTCCTTATTCGTTCTCTTCTCTTTCAGAGACACTCCCATAAGCCATCTCAGCATCCTCATTTCTGTTCTTATCAACAAGCCTTCTCCTTTCTTCTTCAAGATCCAGGTCAAGGCTCCGCAAAATAGCACCGGTGTAGTTACGGTCTTATACACTTTGGCTTTCAGAGCCTTTGGTAAATTTTTGTGACAGGTGACCTTGGCCACTTCATTGTATTCCCCCTCCCAACCCGCCTGCATTCTATCTCTCACAGTTTTTTCACTTCCTCCTTCACTCTGGATTGTATTTCCCAAGTACCTAAAATCTATCAGTGCTGTTACTATTAAATTCTCTGACAATGGTAACATGTTTCAAGAAATTCAATTTTGATATTAACTTCTTTATACAAACAAACATTTAATACGTCCCTTAGAAGCCAAAGGGTGTCTTTACACTACAATTTGTTGAATATTAAAAAAAGTTCAATCCAGAAACTCCCAAAGAGAGTGGTTTTGGACGCATTTTTTTCGAGGCAAGTTTTCGTTTGTTAATTGATAAATTTTTAAGTGAAATACAGCATCCTCCAGTCTCCATCCTAGCTAGTACTAAGATCTACCTACTGGGTGTAATATCAGTATATATCAATAAAGCCACATTCTCAATATCATTAATTCAGCAACTGCCAACTTTTTATGGTTCTGCTATCATCAATTTATGTTTAGCTTTCAACTGAGATTTCACCTGCGATTCGATACGGAAGGTCGAAGCATCACGATATTCAGCAGTAGGATGAGTAGACAGGAACATTATGAAAGCAGCTGCAGTCATAATATTTTACTCGGCCTGCTGCACAATATCTACCAAGGTGGTTCTAAACGGTTCCTGAATACCTCAGCATGTAATTTGCAGACCTCCATGCTTCTTGTGCTTGGCCGTTAAGCTCATGATATATATAGTCGGATTTCAGTCAACTTACTACTTCAAATCATTTTTCGCAGCCCCAACGCTAAAAGAGTGCGGGAAATTCCTTCTTTTCAGCTAATAAAAATGTCCAAAAAATTCAGTTCAAATTAAGAAAACCCGGATTGGGTAGGTTTTTGTTGTTTTTTTCAACAAAAATATCCCCCACTGGCCTGTTAAAACTGTACACATATGTGGTGAAACATCTTGAGAATAGGGGTAACACGATATCTTGGGTGATGGCATAGCGACGCAATACGACTTTATATAAACTGAAGTAACCATTGCATTTTCATTTAACTAAAATACCTAAAATGTAAGTATTTTTTTATTGTTCTGTTTCTAATGTAAACTACTACAAGAATTGCGAGATTCACGTTTGTTAAAATCTATTAACGTGTCATTGTTATGTTGCCACACAAGAAACGTGTTATCAACATTTCATCCACGCAATGGGTTGATTCAAAGCTGTGCTTAGTACCTTAGATTCAAGTTTAGTCATGAACAGTTTTCAGAGAAATGGTGAAATCGGAGAGCCCAAAGCCAGTCCTTTCACCTCTTTATGTAAAATAATAATAATAATAATTAAAGCTCACGTAGTTAACACAGTGTTAACTTTACTATATCTTATACTTCTAAAGTTATAAACCTTTTATTTCAGCACCACATTGGTTCATCAGCAAGTCTACAGGTTTACGATGCTAAAAATCAACACTTTCGATCAAAACTGGGCGATTCAAGCAAATCGCTACAGTTATATAACGCCTTAGTTTACCCGCTGCTACTTCAGTGATTAAAATCAAGTTAGAAACCGGTGTTGTGTAAAGTACTTATTAACAATTCGGTAAGACAACGCTAAACACTACTAAGTAGTTTCAGGCTTTACTTAAAAAACTTCTACATGTTTCGGTTTATCATGAAACTCATCATCATAGGAAAAGAGACAGCAGTGAAAATCACTATTTTAATTCTTCTATACCTTTTAAATTCCTTTTGCACTATACGAAAACAAAAGACATAACCTTTGGTCAATCAATTAGTATATATGATGCTGCCACCTCTATTTATCTTTCTTTTGAAATAGATTTCTAAAAACAGGTTCTGTACATCTTAAAGCCGAACTTCTGCTTAAAAATAACTCGACAGTTTGATGATGCTATTATATATAGTTCGTATTTATTATCAGAATATTTAATCAATTGACATGGTACTAACTGACACTGTGAGAAAGAGCATTGTTGGCTATATGTTCAGCTTACGCCAATTCAATAATTTTCTGTTTTTTCTTTCTCACAGTGTTAAGCCGCATTTATTAGATATTCTCATAATAAATACGACCTAAATATAATAGAAACATTAGAAATGTTTAAGAATTCAAAGTCAATTTTAAATAGAAATTTGTGTTCAGGGTTTGCAGAAATGTATTTCTGGTAATCTATTTTTAAAAAAAGGATGTATAGGTGGCAGCACCATATATGCTAATTGATCGGTCGAAGTTTTTGGTTTTATTCTTTTTTTGTGTGTTATACAAAATTTAGAAATATCTGTAACAATTAGAATAATATTTTTTCCTTTTTTATGATGATGAGTTTGTGATCCACCAAAACATGTAGACGGTTTTAGTTAAGGCCTGGTCCTTTCAATAAAGATTTTAAACTATTTATATTGTGTAATCATAATGGGATCTTGTACTTTACTCAAGTCCGATTTCTAACTTGATCTTAACTAATCATTTGTACAAATAATTTATTAAATCATATTCCAAGAACCGATACTTTGTAGAAAACTTCAATTAAATCATGTTCCAATAGCCAACCACTTAACAAAAATTCGATAAAATCACGTTCCAATAACCAACCATTGGATCAAAATGATAATCAAAACGCATTCCAATAATATGTAGAAAACATCTATAAAAATAACATTCCTATAACCAATCGTTCGTGGATAACATTAATCAAATCAGTTTCTTGTTACCGGTCACTTGTAGAAAACATCATTCAAATCACATTCACGTTTCTATATTGACTTGATAACTTGTGTTTATTTACATGTCTCATGATGGATGTTATAACATTTTATACGTCTTTACATATCTTATTATCGATGTTGCTTACAATCTTTATGTTTTATCTTTTATTTAATCTTTCATTATAAAACACATTACGTTTGTCAATTCTGTATATAACAAAGATGATACAGTATTTATACCTCTAAACAATTACGTCCTGAAGAAGAATGAAGTTAAATAATCTATAGATCCTTGTAAGTGATAGACAATTTAGTTATGGATTTCAAGTGTATGAAATGTTTTATAGAGTTTTTAAATGAAGAAATGTTCCATGATCATATATTAGTTCGAATCATTTTGGGGAATGACCCTTATGTTTCGTGTACGATGATGTATTCTATTTGACTAATAACATGCTAGAACACTTGGATATACCGCAGATATCATTACATTAGGCTGTAGGTATTCTGAGAAATCGGTATCATGTTTTCCAAATGAGGATTTGTCCAGAAGATGGAGAAAGCTATGACAATACACATAACACTCTACTGATGAAAAACATTTCTCACTTCTAATATTTACAATGAACATCAGCATTAATATATATTCTGATCTTTCTTGTAAGTTTACTATGAATGATCAGTTATAAATCTGAACAGTTGATCTAAGATCATGATCCCCTATCTAATAATGCTTGATCTTTATTGTAAGTTTTCTATGAATGATCAGTTATAATAAATCTGAACAGTTGATCTAAGATCATAATCCCCATCTAATAGTACTTGATCTTTGTTGTAAGTTCACTATGACTGATCAGTTATAAATCTGAACAGTTGACCTAAAATCATAATTCCCTATCTAATAATACTTGATCTTTCTTGTAAGTTTACTATGAATGATCAGTTATAAATCTGAACAGTTGATCTAAAATCATAATCCCCTATCTAATAATACTTGAAGTTTTGTGAATAAACATTTCAGTATGTATTAAGCTTGTCTTATTAAGATATTTTGATTTTATTGACATATATTAATGATGTATGCTAAAGTCATATTTGGCTATGATGAAACATGAGTTTTACATAAGTAACTCCATATGAAGACTTGTATCAGATGTTTAACCACAATTGTTAGAAATGTGAATAACCAGTTCATGGGGTCTAATTTATCACAAAATCTACTAATTTGAATTTATGTAGAAAACCAATGTCTGTAATATTATAGCATTAAAGTTAATTTCATCATTATGTAGAAGTTAGATATTTAAAACAATTAGTTTCAATATTAAGTATAATGTCAATATATGTATGAGATTTATAACTTACTAATGAATATATTATCATAAATAGCGACGTATACTATGTACTATAATTAATTTGTTCATCTTTTGTTTCCACAAAAGGTTTTTCTACACATTAAGCTTTAAATCCTATCAGCTTTTCTCTTAATAAAAGGTCACCATGACATCAACTGTGAACTTTAGCTTTTTAATGTCCAAACTTAGATACACTGGTTGGAGTTTTAACCTTAGGCCAAAGAACACGTTTTTACTCGTGAATAGTCATCTTCGACAACGTGCCATCAGCTGTGATTCGTCAGACCAACTGAACAATAGGGTTGAAAGAGTCCACATTTTTGGGGGAGTTTGTAGGTGTGATCTTTCTATGGTATATTTTCAACGCTCAGATAAAAGTGAAGTTGCTATTAGTTTTAGTAGAGGTCTGTCAGCATATATATATATAGGCAAAATTATATTTTTAATTTCTATAATAGTAATGATTAAACATAGCTATTTATGTAGACCGTTTAAAACCAAACTAATATTGGTTAATTTGTTATAATTATTTAGAGTTTAAAAATGAAAACTATAACTAACTTAATATATGAAGAACTGTGGAACGTATTTTTGTTTTGATTTTGTTGCCAAACGTTTTAAGGTAAATACCTTAATAGATATATCTTTTTTTATGTAGATCAGATTGCAAAATATTTGTCGTGACTAAATAATAAAGTGTCAAAATGAAATATTTTGTCGAGAACTTCATTATTGTCAACAACAGTTATTCTTACCGCTTTGTATACAATACTTAAAAATACATTCAGCTGTGTTAATTGTGTCTTTCAAATAACGGTTTTACTTATAAAAGCGAAACGGTAGGTGTGATAAAAACTTTTCAGAACATATAAACAAATATAAGTGAACACTAAAATGTGATAAAAGTAAACATAATTTGAGACATGTTGAGATATGTATGCATTTCGATGACCTCATCATCCTAGGACCTATAGTAACACTGTTCTTGGTCCATCTATTGTTCCTTAATAGCACCATCCGCCTACAGCAACACGCCTTCTTGTGAGTCACACTATAATGTCGCCCCTTCCTTTCCAGGACTA